GAATAAGACAGGCTATTAGATTATAGCCGAATGGGAAAGGCTGTATGTTTAAGCGCATGTGAACTCCTAAAGAGATGCAAAATTAAGCAATTAAGTTGCATCAACCCGAGCTGTCCTACACGATGAAAGGACTGAAAGTCGACAGGGGAAGGCAAAATAGACCAAATAACATATGAGTAAAAGCTTGGTTTCGAAGAATCCATAAATAATTTATTGTGATATGGTGTTTAATTTCAGAGGAAAAGTTGATTGGAAGAAATGAGTGAATTTGACTCGCCAGGAAACGAAGAAGGATAGCCTTGATGTAAAGACCGTTGGAGTGTCTGGTAGATTCCTCGGCCCAATGTTCTTCGACTCCGATAAACCGTGGATAAGTTTCGCTTGTCATAGTACAGAGATCTTAATTTACGAAAATACGCATGAATTCCTTCCAGCATACTTTTCCATCAAAATCAAAAGTCTAATAAACCAAATATAAGTTGTAAAAAGATAAACTGCACTACAATGAGAGCCCTTGGCAGCCCCATGATGTAGACCATTAACTTACCGAGGGAGGATGGACGTAGAGTAGCCTGGCCACGCCAAAATCGTAGGCCTGAGGTCCGGCTGGCCGTGGCGAAAAGATAAGCCGGAGGACCACGGCTGGCCGCCGCGACTGCAAATGGCTCAGAAGAATCGCCTTTATTAAGGCCAACCAGGCCCACGGACGAGGCCCAGGCCGAGTGAAGTGCTGCGAATTCGGCCAGTTGGACATCGTCATCGGTTGGAAGACGGGTATCGCAGACCTAAAATACAAAATAATACCGAGTGAAAGATGAAAATGGAATAGCTCTATGCTTACAAGCGCTTCAGTTCATAAGTGGGCCCAATTTTCGGTCCTCTTTTTCGACAGAAACTACCATTCCTGTGTAGGATTAAGGCCAAACGATATGTAAAAAGCCCTGAATAATTTAAACCTACTAACTCAACATGTAACGAATGACAACTGAAAAATGGCTGATGCTAATTTTACACAAATAATGGTTAAATAAAATTTTCTACTATGATTATTCGGAATTAGTCTGGCCTGCAGATTTCTTCCAGTCACAAGACTCTTCTAAATAATGATAGATTTAGAGGATAGTAATTATCTTCTCTTGCATAAGTCATAGAATTTAAATCAAGTGTAGAAGCACCCGTACACAACGGACACGAGTACATTCTACGAGCTTATCAGTAATTTCGCGAGATCGACTTTTTAAGGTAATAAAAAAGTTTTTACATGACTGTTTATCATTCATTTCCTCAGGGTATAAAGTAATTTCAACTAAGAGGAAGGCATACCAAAAATGTACCACACAATAAGCGTATTACAATATTATAGAGGAAATTATCCA